GTGTTTGGCTTCCCTCTGCTTTTTGCGAGGCCGAATTCACACATTCATCCTCATGGTCCACACCTCCCAGACCGAAGTATCTGGGCCCTGTGACCGCCCAACTGCTGTCCACAGCACGGGCTGACTTTGGACCCCGCGTTACTGGACTCCAGCTCTCTTGGCTGTCTTCCACTGTGCTGTTTGTAGGCACTTGGGTACTACACACAGCTTGACTGCCTTCCCCATGTACCTGTGGCCATACAATGTCCCCGTGACACTGCTTTCGGCCACCGTCAAAAGAGAAATCAGAGTCTCCCCATTGAGACTCCTCTACTTGTCTTGCTTTCATATTTTGGCTGTTCGGACCAGGAGCTGCCCTGAGGTGTCGGCCCCTCCGCTCCTGTCCCAGCCTGAGGTTTCACTCGCCCTGGGCACGCGCCGGCGAGCGTTCGCGCCCCGTCGGCGTTGCCCTGACTGACACATCTCGAGACATGCGCATCGGCCCATATATGCCAAGTTCAACTGGCATGCTCGGCTCTCTTGGTCCCAAGACTCCCGTCCAGTCTGTCTCCACGACTTTGACTGCCATCCTTGTTTTGAGCGCCTCCGCTTGCTCCTCAGACAGGATGATCCCTTCCTTTTCCAGGTAGGCCGCGACGTCCTTGTATGGCGAGTCCTCTTCATCCTTCACACAGGCTTGGACCTTCTTCTGTGCTTCCGCTACCTCCAGCTCCGTGGCCTGGATGGCCTGGCTGACTTGCGCAAGCTGCTTCATGGCCTGCTCGAACTCGCTCTTTATCTTCTCCGTTTTGTCTTGAAGCCGGACCTTCTTCTCAATGAGCGTTCTCAGCTTGTTTGTCGTCCGTCTGTATGTACCAACATGGCGGCTGAGTTCCTGCTTTGGCGTCTCATCCTCAGGCTTGTAGTCCCCCGGCGGGGGTATACCCGCCGCTCTGAGGAGCCTTTGCACTGCGGGCTCGGCTCCTTGCCACACAGTCTCAATGGCCGCATGGTACTCCTTCTGTGACATGCTTTCTGCCTGCGATCCATTGCCAGGTAATCCCGGGGGCCAAATTGGCCCCGGCTCCATCGTCCGCGGCTTCCATCCTGCTTCTTCGATGGCCTTCTTCGCCTCCATAGAAAGCGTACCCCACGCCTTCGTAAGGGCTTGGTCGGCCATCCCTTCTTTGTTCTTGGCCTGTCTTGTCCACCATGTAGCGTCGTCCTTTGGCCATTGCCACTTCTTCCGCTGGCTTGACCATGCTCGCTCACGGTAAGTGGCCTTTTTCCACGCCTTTCCGCAATGCCAGCAGTTCGGGTTGTAGTACAAGTCTTCATTCCAGACCCAACCCACCTCACAGTGGGCACACACAGTACAATGCTTCCCCATGACTGCTGCAGCCTGATGCCAGTCCCACCAGCACCTCAGCAATGCGAGGCCTAAGATCCCCTCAACCGTAGTGAGGCCGAACTTTATGTGTCCTCAGCCGGAGCGAGGCCGAAACTAGCCCCTCCCTCTGCCGAAGCGAGGCCGAAAACACACCCTCTGCCGATGCGAGGCCAAAAAGTTCCCTCAGCACTTGGCGAGGCCGTACTCAGGCAGCTATGTTGCTGGCAGCCGACTACCAAGCAAACACAGTGGTTTCGGTTTGAGTCCTGTTGGAGCCCACCCTTAGGTACAGTCTCCAGGCAACAGCACTCCCTACCTGAGCACCCCACCGGGGTTGAGCCGAAACTTGAGCCAGGTGAAGGTGAATTTTACGTCTGCACGCTACGAGGCGTAGCCACCCGAAGGGGCTGTGGGTTCAAGTGAAACAAAAGCTTACTAAAACTGTGGGGTGAAACTGCCGGTAGTTCCCCCTCTCATTCCTTGTCCTCGGTTTTGACGTACCGCTACCCTCAACCGAAGTGAGGCCGGAATGTCGTTTTGACCAAGTCGTTGCCATTGGCTTGAAGACTTTGGCCAAGGCAAATTGCCTGTATGCTTGCACATTCTCTGTGTTGTCTATTCGGGAGGTGATCCATGCCCTCGTTCGTGGAGGCCGCTATCCCTCAACCGAATGGAGGTCAATTCCTGTAGACCCAGATGCTCGTTCTACGAGTCTCATTGCATGTCCTGAGTGCTTCCATCCACACCCCTCAACCGTAGTGAGGCCGGACATGTCTTCAAACCAGGTCATGGCCCGAGGCTTCATGGACTCTGGTTACGGTGGCTGCCTCTTGCATGCACAGGGCATACTTCCTGTGGCTTTTGCCGGGAGGTGATCCATGCCCTCCGATTCTCAGAGGCCGCTATCCCTCTACCAGCGGGGTGGTCAATCCCCATAGACCGTTCCATATTGATTGAGGCCCAATTCTGCACTTTCTCGTCATCTCACCTTGACGGATCCATGCCCTCGATTCACACATCTCCAACACGAGCCAAGCAGGAGGAACAGGTGAAGTACCTGCCCAAACATACCCCTTTTTAGGCTGGAGGACGCTAAGCGACCGAAATCGCCGCTACGCACCGGTGACCCCACGCCACACACCTTCAACAGGTGGCCGGTACAGGCGCCTGACAGGGGGCCGGGCAAGGTGCCGACTACCAGGTCAAACCCACCCTGCCTGTGAGGATATTATGTACGAGGCCGCTATCCATTGTGAGACTTGACATTCTCCAATCCAGCCGTAGCCATTGTTCCAAAGACAGTCGGCTGGCTCTCTTGTTTGCCACCAAAACTCCATACTCTCACTTGGGAGTCGATTACCCTCAACCGAAGTGAGGCCCACTCTGCGACCACGGGTTAGCTGCATGCTTGGTCCTTGTGGGCATTTCTGAAAGCAGTGACAACGAATCCTCCACGGAGTACGTCCCGGCTAATCCAGGGTTCTCAGCAGCTCCGGTGTTCTCGCACTTACTAACCGTGCCTTGCTGTTCTCCCCAGAATCGCCCTGGCTTTCTCGCACTTACTTACCAGTCGACGTATTCCTCACCACAAAGTTCACTGCCATTGGGACTCGAGGCTTCTCCAGTGCAATGCTGGTACCTGCCCTTTGCTGGCCTCCATGCCTGGCCAGTGTCCCTCATCCATATTCTGGAGTTTGCTCTTTATAGCTCACATTCCCTCAGACCAAAGTCGAGGCCGAATGTTGCATTGTTTGATTGAGCACTGCTGGGCTGCGGTTGTACCTATCAATTGCTCCGACACACCGGCACCGCGGAGTCTATGCTTCAAGCTGCTTTACCGCTTTGCGCCCAGTAGCATCAGCCGTCCAAGCTGCATGCAGTGCTTCCAGAGTCTCCCAGACTCAATTCCGGCAGACCAATAAGTGCCCGGCCTGCCCATTCCATCATTCTTCCCTCAGCTGATGCGAGGCCGGAACATCATGCACCTTCTTCATCAGCGAGGCGTTTTCGCAACCCTTCTGTTGTTCCCTCAGCCTTGGCGAGGCCGAACCATCCATTCCCTCAGCCGAGGCGAGGCCGAACCTTTACTCCAGCATAGCGAGGCCGAAACTGCCCTTGCATAGCCTCACATGGCATCTCCGCTGGTTTCACGGGTTCTGAAAGCATTGTGCTGCGAGGGTATGTTGATCACCCTCATTCCGGCAAGCTAAGCCTGCATTCGGGTTTGCCCTCACATGGCCCTTAATGGCGAGGCTGTGCTCGCAATTCAATCCACTTCCACTTGCCTGGTTACTGGCCGGCGACGTTTCATCACCTCAAAGGAGCATCCATTCCTCATCATCTTCCGACAAGGCCAGCATCCTTCTCGACACATCAGGGCCATACACCATAATCACCAGCCTACCCAGGTACCTGATTTCACGTCCGCTGCCATCAATCATCAGGGATGGGTTTGTGGGATCGACATAGAAATCGATGTTCCAAAGCCTCGCATCCTCACAGCATCGGAAATCCCGGAGCTGCAGGTGGAGGTTAGCTGCATTCAGGCTTCTTTGGACATTCCAATTCCCACAGCTGCCCCAGGCTATGTTGCCTCTCCTGGTGCGACGGACAAAGTGGATACGATATGACTGCGACAGTTCCAGGAAAAGCCCTTCACGACGCCCCTGGTGTGACCATGCAAATACACAGCACGCAATTGCCGGCATGGTCCGTCGCTCTCCGTCTGCCTTGCAGCAAGTCTCTTTGGCGTGTGGCACACTGTCCAGGGCACTGTGGACGGCCACTCTGGTCGCCGATAGCCCACGAGCGGAAATCTGCGGTTGAGACGGGGCCCTGTTCCAACAAAGGAAGTTAAGGCCTCGGAACCCTCTTCGCTCGCACAGGTCTGCTATCTTCTTGCACCTCAGTTCCAGGAGGTGTTTCCCTCAACCGTGGTGAGGCCGAACTATGTTGTCCCTCCGAGCGAGGCCGAAGACTTTCCACAATCCTCAGCTTATGCGAGGCCGACAACACCCTCAGCAGCGAGGTCGAAAGTTCCCTCAGCACTCGGCGAGGCCGTACACAGGCAGCTATGTGGCTGGCAGAACTACCGAGCAAACACAGTGGTTTCGGTTTGAGTCCTGTTGGAGCCCACCCTTAGGTACAGCCTCCAGGCCACCGAACAGCTCACTACCTGCGCACCCCACCGGGGTTGAGCCGAGACTTGAGCCAAGGTGAATTTTACCCACGCAAGCACGAAGCGGCCGGAGGCCTTGAGTCCATTGCTCTGTGTGAAACAGTCGGGTGAACACCTACCCTAAGAAAGTAAAAGGCCACTCACGCAGTAGCTGCAAGGAGTAGGCCTTCAGGCCAAGCTCAGAAGTGAGACAGTCGGGGTTACACCTACCCTACAGCTACAAGCTGCGCCACTCACTTCAGGCTGGCACCCATGCCTGAGGCCTGGTTACACCAAGGCCTAGCTGCACTTGGAACGCCCAAGCACGACTCACGGTAGCAGGCGCTGACAGTCGGGGTTCAACAACCCGAGCATCTGCAACCACACACAGCAAACAAGACTGGGCCCACGCCTTGAATGGTCTGGAGACCCCAAGACCTGACTGACAGCACCAACAGCTTGGAAGGCCCAAGCTTATTGGTTAGCCAATGCAGCAAGGTGAGCCCAATCAGAAAGTCGGCCGTCCATGAGGACCATTTGGATTTCCAAGTTTGCCTTGAGCGCAGCGGGGAGACCTGCAGTAATCTCGTTGAGGCAAGGGACCACCGCCTGCCTGCGGAGATACGGCTCCAGTGGCGTAACGTCACAGACACATCGAAGGGTCTCGACGAAGCTGCGCAAGCTATACTTGGGAATCCACCTTCCAGCATTAAGCCCTTCGAAGTGCCAATCCGCGAGGTCGAAAAAACACAACATGGGCGTCGCAGCACTGAGTCCTGGCTTAATTCCCAGGTTGGTTTTTGACACATCACGAAGAGCAAAATGACGGCTCAATTGCAAAAGGAGGGCGAAGGCATACAAGGACCACTGAGGGTGGATCTGGTTCCGAGAACCATAATCCGTGAGGAGCTCGATTTTTTCCACCATCGACCACGCCACCAAATGGGACCTGAACTCCCATGGTCGCCCAGAGAGCAGCACCTGCAGTGTCGTAGATCCAGCCCCAATGATGGTGGCTGCCACCTTAGGCAGCAAGGCCGAAATCGCCACCTCATCACCAAAGGCCTGCTTCGTCCCAACCTTCAAGACGTAGCCCCCACCAGCGTCATATCCGAATCTGGTTCTTCCATTGTGGATATACGCCGCAGTGCTGTCCCCCGTGTCGTTGAACCACACGTGGATCAGGTCCTTGGGTAGGGCCTGGAAAACACCAGGATAGCCCAGATCGGATTTGAAAGCCACCAGTCCTGGCTTGGTATTGCGAGCCCTCTCAGCAATAGCAAAGGCTGCGCCCGCTTCTTGATCCATATCGTCAAAGTTCAACGGGGCAGGCAACATAGGCGCAGCTGGCGGTGCTGGAGGAGGCTCGGGATGCACAATGGGATCAGGCACCATTGGCTCCTCTTCGCTTTCTTCAGAGCAGCTGTCCTGGTCTGGGGCACCCAAAACCGGACCAGCCCCAGGTGCATGGGGATTCTCCCGAAGGACAATTCCAGGAGGTTCATCCCTCTCAGCCTGGTTTGCCACCACGGCTGGGGGGCGGTGCACAGGATTGTGCTGCTCGAGCTGAGGATTTTCCCGAAGCACAACTCCAGGATTCCTCCTCCCCTGAGCCTGGTTATCCACCAAGGGCTCAGGGGGTTGCACTTGTTGTGGCCCGGGCTCAGGGGCTTGCTCATCCTGCGGTTCCACCCTTCTCCGCCTGGGAGGCGGGGGGTTCACACCAGCAGGCGGCGCTCTTTTAGGAGCTGCACCTCTAAGCCGAGCTCTCTCTCGCTTGCCCGGCCGGGCTTTTGAGTAGGCCTTGGAGGCAGGGGATTTATGCTTCGGAGGCATACTCAGGAGGCATTCTTAGCAGCAGCGTGCTAAAAGGCAATCTTAGCTTGCTTGAGCCCAGACTGCTTCGCTTTGGGTTTTGGCTTAGGCTTGGGAACAGAAATTTTAGGTGAAGGTTCCTGACTGGAGGACGACACAAAAAAGGCCCGAACACTTTGAACCCCAGTGTCAGTCACCTCCTTTGCTTTTTTGGAGCTAGCAGTAGCAACCTTACTTTTGGTGGGCCTGCAAGGCGCTACAATCCAGGTCGGGATTTTGCGGACACCAACTTTGACCAGCTTGTCACACTTTGAGCAAACCCAGGACTTACCTAAATTAACCCACACATGATCAGGGTGGGGATCCCAAGGAGGAGGGTCCGCCTGAACACCTAGGCAAGGGTGCTTGATCTTAAGGGAAAAGGTAGGGAGGGGCTCAGTCTGCTGGATGTATAGCTCACACCTCGAGCACCGCGCTGAAAGGTTGGAAGGAAGCCTACAACCCTCTACCCAGGTGTGCCCCAAGTTCTGTGTACCAGCAAGAAGGCCTTCAATCTGTTCCCTTTTGTTAGGACCTTTGATCTTGGGGAGCTTAGAATTTTTCAGGACACCTGAATCCCTGACCCTGGGCTTTTGGCGGAGCTTTCGTTGCTCTTTGTCAGGCCACTGAACCAGCGGTCCTTGGTCCTTGTCATACGAAAGGAGAGCTGCAGCTCTCCTGGCCAGTAAGGTGTTAACCTGAATGGCAACTGCATCACGCTTTTTAATTTGGGATTCAAAGTTCAGGTCCCTACGAGCTTCGGCAGCCGTGCCAACAAGCTGGTCCACAATTTCGTTAGCACGTCGCCTCCAAAGTTGGTTAGCACCAAACTTTGCTCGGAATTGTTCTTCCGTTAAATGCGAGGATACCCAGTTAAGGTTGAGTCTCTGTGCATGCAGTCGAATGGGGTCGAAGAGGTCTGCAGACTGGATGGAAGGTGTACCATTCACTCTGGGCAGGATGCCCTTGCAATCCAAGGTGAGGTCTGCGTTCCCTTCACTATGCTCAGCTACAAACTTGACAGCCGCTGCCTCCGCCCGGAACACCGATAGCGGAGATTGCAGTGAGCCGACAGCTGTCGCGATCGTGACGGGCTCATCCCCTTCAAGCTTAAAGGCAATCGCAGCCCAGGTATACCGATGGAACCTGGGGTCCTTGGATTTCCCCGGGGAGCCATCAGTAGCAAAGTATATCGCCTCGCCACAAATGATCTGGCCATCACACCAGGCACCAGTAGTTCGTACCCATTCCCCATCATCAGGGTAAGGCGAAATCGGCAGAAGGCCCCTGGCCCACAGTGACGAAATGGGCCACTCTTGCCGAAATCTAGGAAAGGAAGCCGGTTCCGGGAGGTTGGTTTGCCACCAGTCACACTCCCATAAGACATGTTGCATGGTAGCAGCACAGCCGCACCTCAGGCAAGTGGCACAAGGATCAGCACGAATTGCTCCTTGCCAAACAGCCATGAGTCCTGACCTCTCCTGGCCTGCCATCTTATTCCTAAGCTTTCTGAGGGGGGCCCAATCAATTCCCACACTCAGAGGTTCAAGCATGTCGTGCTGGGCTATACGTGCGAGCCTCCACCTATCTGTTTCCTTAGAAAGGGAGCAAAGGAGGTGGTGCATGCCTACCTTGGTGGTGACGCTGTGCGGTTGTTCAGGGCATTTCCAAGTGTCCGCACTGACCGGGGTCCAACCCAAGTCAAGCAGGTAACATAGGAGGGCCCCAACCGGCCCTGCAGCGCGCTTCCAGGGGTACTCCACCTGTGAGTACTCAAGCCACATACCCGGCAAGACATCATCAAAGTGCTGCCTTTGGCTATCGGGAATGAAGCCCAGAAGCCTGTGAATGGCCTTGAAATGCTGGGAAATGATAATAAAGGCCGGGTCCGGCCGCTTAGGGCACGCATGGTCAATGGTGAGGTAAACCGAGCCCAAAGACATTCGCCCCAATTCATGTGCGAAGGAAGCACGCAACCAATGCATACGCTTTGGCGCAAGCCCAACTGCCTCATGGCCATAGAGGCCCACAGTTTGGACCCCCGCCCTCAGGGCTCTGACCCTAGCTGGCATCGATTTCACACGCAGGGTCGAGAGCCTAGCCTTGCGCTTAACGCCCTTCCCAAACCTTTTACGGTGGAACGGAATGCGCCTTCCACGCCCAGCCGTACAATCAATCCCCAGGTCCTTCGCGGCATTCTTGATTTGATCAGAGTCAGGAAGATACTCTTTAAGGGCAGCTTCAACTTTTGGAGAGGAGCATACAAAAGCTGTCTTGCCCAGGCTGACTGGGAGGCCAGCAGCTGTCAAACCTCCTACCACAGCCTTATACAATTGCACCGCCCGGCGCGCTGCTGTGTGGGGGTTACCAGCCTCAGTGTCAAAGCTAGTGTCGTCAATGTAGAGATCAATGGTTTTGGCAAGGCCAGAAACCCATGCCGGGCGCAGGATCTCGTCAAAAGGGATCTTGCTGAGGCCTGGCGCAAATGGGCAGCCCGCAACTAAGCCCTTGGTGGGCTTGATCGGACCAGAGACACAGTGTTCAGCACTGATCAAGCGCTGAGCAGAGTATAGCGACATTGCTGCATTCAGGATCAACGGCGGAACTTTGAGGGAAATGGCCTGATTGACGAAATTATCATGTCGGACATTTTCATAAAAGGCCTTTAAATCCAAAAGCACTGTCACTGAATGTCGCTTTTTCCGATGGAGAATTTCATGCGACAGCTTACGGCGCAACGCAACATCAAGACTTGAAAGGCCCTTCTTTGCCCTGTCCCAATCCTGGGTGGCAGCATATTCCCGGAGCCATTTCTCAAAGACAGGCCAACGTATCTTTGCCCACAATCGGTATGGGACTGGCGTCAGTCCAATTGGGCGCTCCTCATCCTCAGACTTGTTAATGAGTGCAACCAGAACAACCGAGAGCTGGGTCGGGAAGGCACCCTGACCCTCCCAGGTATTAAAGAATTGGGCCAATCTTTCAAGCTGCAAGGGGGCAAGACATTTAAGCATCTGGACACTCCACCCATCTGCACCAATAGCTTTAGTCGGCATTCGTTTGATCACCTTCGCCACCATTGGACCTGTTATGGGAGGAAGGGTTTTGGCTTGGCTTACAGAAGCATCCCTGAGGCTATCAAAATCAACATTGGGATTGACCTCATTGCCAGGCATGGGCTGCCACACGTCAGCCCAGTGAGCCCGCCTGATGTGCGGGCGAATTTCGAGTGGTATGTTTCTGTATGGCCTGTCCGGGATGGAATCTTCAGACTTCAAAGCCTTGTACAGGCCTCGCATACCCCCTTTGCAAGCTTCTTGCAACCATTGCGAGTAAGCTTCATCACTCTTGCGCACCGCCTCTTTCAAGGCTGATCGCCCCTGGTGTGCGATAATCTCAAGTGCAAGGTGATGGCTTTGCATGTCAGGAGCACCTAGGAGGTCCTGCAAGGCCTGAGCAGTACAAGAGGCCATTTCAGACCAGAATTCAGGTATGCGATTCTTCGCCTCCACGAAGAGGGGGGTAATTCTAGGGTCAGGATTAGTGCCCATGGCTTTAGAGGTCCAGGTGAGGAAGGATTGCCAAAAAGCCGGGCTCGACCCTTTCCAGAGTTTTTCCGGGCTGGTGGTCTGCACGAGTGGCGAGAAAGAGACCTCCAGCTTCCACCCTCTACCTGCCTGCACAGAGAAGAGTTGTTCTTCCACCCCAGCAGTGAAAGAAGCCCATTCATAATCAATCGGTCGGGACCAATCCCAAAGGCCACCAGGTTGGACTTCCGGCATGGACAATTCGTCCGGGCAGAGGGCAGTGGGTTCCAACGGGAAGCCCTTGAGCTGACGAACAGGCAGATCTGCAACCCCAAGGTGAATTTTACACACCCCCTCATGCACAGATGGTCCTTGGGTAGTTCCCTTCAGTCCTTTCTTTCCTCCTGCTTCAGGATCTTCTTTCCAATCCTGACAAGAGCCTTTCCAAGCTCTTCCGGGTAGGTCCCAGACTCCTTCAGAGACGCACTCTTCGAGTGTTCGTGGTTTCCTGCGCAAACGTACGAAGACAGTTCCCACACACAGGCAGCACTATTAGAAGCGAACCACCATCTCTTCCAAGTCTTCTCTTTCTTCTCGAAGCAGCATCTATCTACTAGACATCCTTGCGTTAGACCAATGCTTTTAGAGACTTCTAGAAATACCGTTTCCTTCCACAAAGAGGACCTTTCAGGCCATTCGTGGGTTAACAGCAAACCCTCGTTAGAGGCATAGGGGCCGAAGAGCTTCCCTATAAGTCTCCAGCAACTCTTGTGAATCTTTAGCGTCTTCCGCCAAAGTTCCAAACCTCGTCGCTTGCGGAAACGCAGGTACCTCAAGGGGCAGCCTGAGCCTGAGCTGCAAAGCGTAGACAAATGCGCAAAGACACGGACCTTTCCCTGCTTCAGGACTCTTAAGATCTCTTCAAGAACAAGAAAGGTGTTCTTACTCAGAAGATTGATTTCCCGAGTCACTCCGAAGTACGCTATGCCTTTCTCTCGAGCACACGCTCTCGCAAAAGCACTCGACTCTTCGCAGCAAAGCTCCAGAACGACGAGCGACACTGTTCCTCTAGCCACTGCCGTCGCGGCTTCCATCCAGGAGCTAGGAACCTCCAGCGGAGAGGACCTTACTGCGTTCGAAGATACTTCCTTAGTGATATTGGGCTCATTTCTTACTTCTTCGACGTTTTCTTCGGAGATCGACGACCACGATTCTGGCTCGGTAATGAGGCCAGCGGCCTCACAAAGACTGACCAAATTCTCCGCAGTTGGGGACTTCGTTAGAGCATCTGCGGGGTTGAGTTTCCCCGGTATATACTCCAGCGTCAATCTTTCCTTGGCGACTAGTTGTTGGAGAAAAGCCGCTCTCAACTCTATGTGGCGGACTTTCCTAAGGAGGGTACTCATTTGCGCTATTGACAGGGCGCTTTCAGAGTCCCCGTACGCGTGCAACTGATATCGGCCTTCCTCCGAGTCAGAAGGCATCCCCTCCACCATCGTCTGTACCAACAGAGATATATACAATCCCTCTCTTGCGATTTCAGTCAGCGCTGCTAGCTCGGCTTCTGCCGATGACAGAGCTACGGTCGTCTGTTTCCGACTGAACGTCTTCAAGCAACAGTTGTTCCAGGTCACAATTCCACCACTCACAGAGTTCAAACCCCAAGACGCGTCCACAAAACAAGACACTGACTCTCGGTCCTCATCCGGGGCTAAAAGCTCTCTACGTGAGGGGAACACTTGGACCTTATGCGGCAAACCAGACACCCATCTCAGAACATCCCTCATACAAGCTTCGGCTGCTTCATTGGGGGCTGACTGGTGTCTTCCTAGAAAACCGCATACATACTGCAAATCAGGTCTTGAATGCGACGCCCAGGCTAGGCGTCCCAAGGTACGCCTATAGCGCTCGTGCGCCTCTGGCGTAAGAGGTGTGTCCTGTCCTTTCTTGAGGAGGTCGGCATACCGCCGCTCTAATGGGGGAAGCTTCGGCGCCACCTTAGTGATTCCGTACTCCTCACAGCAAGACCTCAAGTACTTAGCGTCCAAGCCAAAGTATACGCAGTGCTCTCCGGGCTTCCTCCGGAAGATCCTACGTTCCAAGAAAGACACCTCACCTGGCTTTCCTTCCAAGAGTTCACCTGTTAGCTTGAGCTTGTAGCGTTTCTTCAGGTCTTCATACACCTTTCGAGCTTCGGCGGTGTTCTCGGCCCAAATCAACAAATCATCAACATAAAAGAGGACAATCACCAAACCATTCTTGGTTTTCTTGCGGAAGATTGTAGGGTCCAAGATCTGCTGGAATCCTTGGTTTCCCAAGTACGCCGACAGCTCCTTGTACCAAGAAAGCGGGGCACTTCGAAGCCCGTTCATGGCACGAAACAGTTTCAAGAAGACCTTTTCGCCAGTCTTTGCGTTTCCTATGTTACTCGGAAGCTGCACAAACTCTGGCCGCGCAATAGCGGCGTGCATGAAGGCTACCGAAACGTCACAGGACAGCACAGACCCTTTTCTACATAGAACAGAAAGTAGGAGCCGCAGCCCTTCTAGGCTGGTGGTAGGAGAATAGATCCCCTCAGCGAGCGTTGTGCCGCCCATAGCGGCAAAATCGCGGACCACAAGTCTAGAGCGGTAAAGACCAGGCTTCTTAACCGTATTGACCCAACGGCTAGACAGAACTCTTCTTCCGCTCTCCTTAGCAAGTCTGTACGCTTCTCGCTCGCTCACCACTTCTCCTACGTTGAACGACTCCAATTCTTCTAGTTCCAGTTTCATGGACAGATAGAGGAGTTTGGGATCTAACAGCTCACCAGAGGTCTCTGAAACAGCTTGCTGTGGGACCTGACAACAGATTCTACTCCCTCCAAACTTAAGCTCAAAGGAAGACGCCGCTTGATTGCTCACGGCGCGGCAGTCAGGTCCTTCGCCTAGCTTCTGAAGATAATGATCCGTCAACCAATCAATTTCCATGTCCTCCATGTCGGGCTCCGGAAGATCACCTCCGGCTACCCCCTCATGACCCTCAGAACCCATTTCCGTGGGCTCGTAGTCCTGGACATATTCCGGGATCATTTCTTCATCCTCTGGGGCTTCGATTTCTTCTTCTTTTGGAACAATGGGTTCCGCAGGCGGTTCAAACAGCAAAGGCTTTTCGGGGTCCTGCGTATCAAGCACAAGAGGATTAGCTTTAGCTAACAGCTCCAACGTTGGGCTGTCGTACGTGGGTTCGTCCCGTTCAAAGATCCCACGACACGCTGGAAAGACCTCAATCTCTCCATCACCTCCAATGACAGTCCCATACACACCTCCACCTCTAGGATGGACGGGGCCCAGATAGCTCACTCGAACCGTCTTGGCTCCCCGGAACTTTTCTAGATGTCGTTTAGAACCGCCAACTTTGGCCTGCGCAGAACAACCGAAGGGAAGCGTCCTTGTCCTTTGGACTATCTCCTCGCGCAACCTGTCTATTGCTGCGGTACTGTTGTTGCTGTCAAAGTTCCACAAGTTGAAACTGCGTGCAGCGTACAGCAAACAAGTCTGCCACAACATTCCACCTAAAGGTAACTGCCAAGCGGCACCACCTTCTTCAGCAGGTCGTCGACGCTTTATTTCCGCCTCTAGGTCGAGCCATATCGACCAAAATCCCTGCTTCATCGCAGAGACCTGCCTTTCCACAGCACCTTTAGACTGCGGACGGTATCCTGGCACAACATCGACAATCGTAGGGTTCTCGCGCCTCTGCGCCGCGACCCTCTCGCACATGGATATCAGACCCTGTTCGTTATCGCACCTGAACGTTAAAGTCTTTTGGTGCAATCCAATTTCGCGGATAAACCGATCGATGTTGAATAACAAGTTCGGGTCGTGTAGTTCCATTGCGGGGATAGACATTGAGTACCGGGACGCAACATGTACGAGAAGAAGAACCCTCAGTTTCCCAAAATAATAGAAATCGACCCCAATGGTTTGATTCTCCTTCTGTAGCTGCCTCTTCAGTCTCCTGGCCGGGACTTTGCCTTTGCTAGAGCAGCAGCTTTCGCAGTTCACATCATAGGGAAAATGACCTCGGGATCTATGTACCTGAAGCGCCTGGCTTCGCAAAGGGATCCTTTCTTCAATCTCCTCTCCTTGTGGAACTGGGGCTTCAGGAGGTTGTTCAGGGTTTTGTGGGGAACGATTCGGTTGGTTTGAGGAAGATGGTGGTTCACCATCATCACGGTCCAAGATTAAGGGATCAGAGCCTGTGCCACTTCCTGGAAGGGGCAGCCCTCTGAGCATCCGCAGATGCCCAGTCAATGGCTGCTTTAAGCCTCCTTCCGGCACTCTCTCATCATTTCCCTTCAACACAAAACATGCCACATCAAGACAACATGCCAAAACATGCCAAACATGCCGCACACAAGCCAACAACATTAAGGTTTTGGGCTTTCTCTTTGTTGGGGCTTTCGGGCTTTTTCTACCAACCAGCAAGATCCGTTCTACGCAAACACGCTTGAAGCATTTTCGGGTGCGAATACGAATCCAATAACCTCCTTGTCGGGGCTTAATCCTCCTCATCTTAGGGGTTCTCTTGGAGTCTCTCTGAAACAGCTTTTCGAGCAATTTCCAAAGACCCGAAATAACGACCCCAACCAAGACACTGAAGATCAGGATGAGGAACACCATCGCGAAGTCGATGACTACTCCTATGAATTTAACCGGGAACGAGCACGTACCTGGACGCGCCGTCGCAAGTTTGAGAGGCCTAATCCCTGCTGGCCTTTCTCCGGAGGGTTTAGGCAGCAGTGAGAGGGGCCTAATCCCTGCTGTCCTTTCTCCGGAGGGTTTAGGAAGCAGTGAGAGGGGCCTAATCCCTGCTGCTGGCGTTTCTCCGGAGGGTGTAGGCAAGAGTAAGAGGGGCCTAATCCCCTCTACGCCCTCTGTGGCCAGATTTCCAAAGGGACGACACAGGTCGGCTATTTTTGAGGTCTCTTGGCCACTCCATCCCAAACAAATCAAGTCAAGCCATGTCAAGGTTCCAGGGCCATGGTTACTGCCGCTTCTGCTTCTGGCAACAAGCAAGGGGAGCGAATCGTCATACCACGCACAAGCACATGTGCCATGCTTAAGGGTTCTAGGGACGTCATGCCCAGCGCAAGCACAAGACAACATGCCAAACATGCCAGCGCTGCCTTGCGTTAAGTCTTGGGACCCTTGAAAATCATGGTAAAACATCTCCTCCTTGCTCTTTTTGGCTCGCGCGCCTAGCGCTTCATT